ACAGAACAACATTGGATTACCTATTTTATACATATTTTTATTTAAATTTACTTATATTTATTATTTAGGACACTACTACAAGGACTGAAGTTGTAAAATTATCTATGCATATTCTCAAAACAACAATGATAAATTAAATTGAGTACACCACAGTGACAAAATTCAGACTCCACCACTGGTTGGGATGACTTATTTCTTTGGTCAAAGAAGCTTTAAATTAGCTTCCCCCTTATTTACGTGTCTCTTAATATCCTAAATAAGCTATTGTTTCAGTCCATCTAAAAAAAGATGGTTCTCCCTAACAAGAGGTGTCCAGTTGGGCCTCGGCCGAGGGCCGGCCCGAACATGAGGGGTATTTTGGGTATTTCACCCCAAAGTTGATCATGAGGGTTTTAAATGCAAATTGAACACATTATTTGTATGTATGGAACCCGTAGGTTTAATTAGACTTCATTTGTAGGATTTTGGTTAAAATTCATAATTTCCCTTTTTATCTCGGGTTTTCGAATTTATGATTGTACCTGACTCGTTGATTTTCGTTGCAGGTTAACCATGTCTCCGCGTCGACTATGCTTTCATTGGAGTCGCTCATCGTCTCATCATAGTGAGTGGGAGGCACATGTAGCTTCCTCATACGGGAGTGAGTTTTTATGATTTCGAGTTCCGTTGTACCCTCGTTTGGCCACTTGAGCAGGTCATTCGGGAAGAGCCAACTTCCACCTTTGCGGGGATTGAGGCTTCGAGATGACTTCGAGTTCTGTTGTACCCTCGTTTGGCTCCTTTGTTGGTTATTCGGGAAGGGCCAACGTCCTCCTTTGCGGGGATTGAGGCTTCGGGATGACTTCGAGTTCCGTTGTACTCTCGTTTGGCTCCTTCGTAGGTTATTCGAGAAGAGCTAACATCCTCCTTTGCGGGGGCTGAGGCTTCAAAAGACGCGTATTGCTTGGCCAATTCACGTCTTCAGGTATATAGGGCGATTCTATGTTGTATTACACTGCGTGGGTTGAGGTACATTGTCACGTTGTTCACGTGATGGTGCATACCGTCCTTCCCGTGTAAGACAATCGGAATCGTCTCGCCGTTCATCCAATGAGTGACTCTATCTTGTCGGCTTGTAAGATGAATTCAATCCTCGTATAATTTAGGAATACTTTTCTAATTCTGTGTCGTTTTGTTGTAGTTGAGTTCCCCGCGGATGGCTTTCCATCTTATTCTACGAGCGATTGCAACAGGGAGACCTTTACTGCTAGTGTTGACAAGCAGGCCATTGGTCCTACCCCTCAGTTTAATGAGAATTGTCCTGGGGAGATTCATCGATTGATAAGAGACGGGGGCCATCGTTCATTACGCCAACTGATTACTGATGCTACCTTTACTGAAAACTCCATTTCTACCCAGGCTTTAGAGAATCCTGATTATTTGTTTGGTGACCATGCTAAGGATCCGACTGAATTGACTCTTGATGATGAGCATTGGCTGAATGATGATGACGAGAGTCTTTTATACATCCCCTCTATCCCTCGTCAGTATGGTCACCAAATATATAAAAGTAGTTATAAGTATAGATGATTTAAATCATCTATACTTATAACTACTTTTATATATATATTTATATATATTTATATATATAGGCACACACACTCTCTTAGCAGGGTATAGATGCTAAGTTATAATAATATAAATACATATCTAAGTTATAACAATATAAATATATATAATGTAGTTATAAGTATACTTATATGTGTATATTATAGAATTACAGTTATATTAAGTATATATAAGTGCATAAGTATGATTGTATATAAGTATATTACATCTAATATATATAAAAGTATATCATATAAGTAAACTCTATAATTGTGCTTAAATAAGCATAATGTAAGTATGTAACAAATACATATATAACTATATAATACATATTTATAAATAAGATATGTGTATATTATAGAATTACAGTTATATAAGTATATATAAGTGCATAAGTATAATTATAAGTATATAATGTTTATTACATCTAGTATATATAAAAGTATATCATATAAGTAAATTGTATAACTGTACTTAAATAAGCATAATGCAATTTTAATTCATTTAGGATGTATTCATCTATTGTGATGTGACGAATTTCAAAATAAATTTATAACTATAGATGATTTATTGATTATTAATAAAGAAGTTATTTTTATCATTTTAATTTCTATGATTTTTTGTATTTGTAAATTATAAATTATAAGTGATTAATAATATAATTGTTTTTATCAAAATTTTGTTTGTTTTTTTATTTTAAATTCTTGAAAATAAAAAAATTACGGGCCCGGGTCTGGGCCCCGATTTTACCCGGCCCGACCGGGCCAGTTTGGACAGACCTATACCTAACTTATGAAAAACTGGCTTATAAGCTCAACTACAAACTAGATTTGACCAAACAAATAACTTTTCTACCCATACAAATAATAAAAGTCAAAACCCATCAAAAGTTAACATGACTAAGCTTCTGAAAATAAACACACCCAAACACCCTCTATATCCTACTACCACGCTCAATTGCTAAACCAACCCCACAACCCAACATCAGAGGCTTCTCTCTTCAATAGCATCTATTGAGCGCTATACTCTAAACTGAATTGCCCTCTAGGATCCACACATTAGCGTGACTTACGATAACAGTGCCATTAGTACCCAACATTATATCGTCCCTATATATCAAAACAACAGCGATCACAGATTAAATCGGTGCTATTTCACAGTTGGAATTGAAAGATTAAAAATGAAAGGTAAACACTTTCAATCTTGAACATACATAAGGCTCTCTCCGAAAATCCCTACATGATCTTCTCATATCTTCTTCTATATTCAGGTCTTTGCTACTCATATACCGAATTAAGCATTTGAAGATCTTTGATCGGGAACGAACCCCACCCTTAACACTCCTGCTTGTGAGTACATGTTAACTGATCAACGAAGCAGAGGCCGACTACCCAACAAAGTATCTCATTCCTTACAACATCACGATCATAGTCATCATCAACTCATCCAAATTTTGCTACTTAAATCTTGCTACATGGTTAACAACCACCCCCTTTATTCTCGTATTAACAATTATATCAAAGACTTCAACGAACGGTTCGATCTTCCCGTTTATTTTCAGCATAATCAGATCAAACATACTTAAATCTTATCAAGAGAATGACTGAGGTCAAAATATCCAAGGATAATTGGCATGTCATGATGTTCCTATGGTCTAGTTTACCACATGTTGGGAAGATAATATGGATGTTTGTAGTCATTTTTCACCGCATGATTATTAGTTTAGACTCAAAATCAGGTTAACGCCTTATGGATGGTGCCCAAGATGGGGGCATAAGAGTAATAATGGCATGATTAGCCCATTGATACTGTGAGAACCAACGAACGCTAAATAATCATGTTGTCTCACCATGACTGTTGATTCAAACCAAGTCAGCGGAAGGCTCATGATTCCCGGTGATTATCGAACAATACTCACAATTACTCACAATTAAAGGGTGATTGTTAGGATACTCATATGCGAGAAAGTATGATAAGTTTAAAATTACAATTGCAGTAAATATCTGATACCTTAGACTTTTGGGTTAATTTGACTCCTAAGCTCTATTTAAGGTCCATTCACTTTTGGCCTGACCTTGTTTTTCTCCCCAGCAAGTGACAGCACTTTGTCAGGAACCAAGAAAGAACATATGTGGAGCAGTATGAGTGCATATGCAGAATTAAACAGAGCAAGCAGACATATTAGAGCCCTAAAAGATACATGATTCAGCCACAACTCTGACGTACGTCTACAAGAACGGAGGGATCTCAACTACACCTAGAGTATTTTAACTGTTGAAGAGTCAGAGTACTCAACTTTGCTCTTCAATAAATATCCGCGCTCCCTTTCCTTTCTTGTAGGTCCCTAATAACATCGATATAGCAGTATCATTGATGCGCTCTCCATAACCAACTACAAGAGAAGTTACTCGGTTTTGGATGTGTGGAAAAATACTTACAAGCTTAGAATGGAACCTGACCTTGATCCCAATTGATGTGTGGGTCATTTATAATCACTCATCCGAAACCTAGAATTTAATTCCCCACCAACATCCCTTGAATGGTCTTGGGCTATTCTGTCATAAATTACATATCCTTGGGATTGGACATTGGTGTGACAAAACATTACTGCCGCAAAAATCCTCTCGTATCTGATCCCATTCACGAAAAAAGCAAATAGGATATACATTCAATAAACTTCTTGTGCCCAATTCTTGCATGTAACTTCTCTCACCTACACTTACATGCAACTTCTCCCCTATGCAGACTACTTAACTTTGGTTTAGGTTATCTTGTAACGTACTTGGTACAATGTTTCACATCATGGTTCATTCTCTGTATTTTCCGGATACATAAAATTAGTGAGATTTATTTGATCTTTTTTCCGGGATTTGAAGGATTTGTGACTTTCATGTGCACTGTTAGCATCGTCCATCGTATTGACAAAGAGATAACATTGGAATTCCCTGATGTATGAACACTCAAATTGGAAGCGAGGAAAATAGACTTAGCATAAGTAAAGAATCATCAGGATCCTAAGAACATGAGTTGTTGAGACATTTTCAGTCTCTTGGACAAGATGTCTTCATGTTGAGGTTCTGAATTGTTTCAGATGTAAAGAATATTTGAAGTTTACATGTAAACAATCAAAAGCTTGTGCTCAAATCTTTATGGCTGTATTAACTAGACCTACAAACTGCTTCATTTCAACGTGAAATAGCCTGCAGGAACAACCACACTAATCTAATTATAAGAAACAACTACAGGAACAACCACACTAATCTAACTATGAGAAACAACTACAGGAACAACCCGCTACATTAACACTTTTTAAGAGATGATTTTTTTGAGCTAAAGCAACGACCAAATATACTATATTATAAACAACTATAGTAGTATTTTAAAGAGATGAATTTTTCAAGCTTCACATATTCGATACATATCATTAAAGAGCTAGGAAGAAGAATATTAACATAAATGGTCACGTAGGAGATTTTCTACAGAATCTGTCGTACATTCCATAAGTGCTCTGTCCACATACTATCATTAAAGAGCTAGGAAGAAGAATATTAACATAAATGGTCACGTAGGAGATTTTCTACAGAATCTGTCGTACATTCCATAAGTGCTCTGTCCACATACTATCATTAAAGAGCTAGGAAGAAGAATATTAACATAAATGGTCACGTAGGAGATTTTCTACAGAATCTGTCATACATTCCAGGAATTACGAGAAGAACAGAAAATGACATCACCAGTAATAGGAAGAGGAAGGGAGGGATTGAAGGATGGAGGATTACCTCATGGGACGCCTTCAGGCACACCATAGGAAGCCAGGAGGCTCAGGATCAATACTTGTCATCTGAAAACCTTTAACTACATCCAGACTAATGAAAAAAGTGTTAGAGATCAGGGAAAGCACACCATCCCAAATACCCAAAATCCAACTGCCATAAATAGAAATAGAAAAAAATACTTAAGCAAGTGACGGACAGAATATAATGAGAACAGCAAACCTAAAACAAGGACAAAATATACATGACGTCTTAAATGAAAGCTCCTAATTCACTAAAATCTTATAACACTTGCTCGTACACTTGAACTCTTTTCTTTTCCGAATGACGATGAAGCCATTGTGGAAACCTCAAATTATGTACAACCCCACAGTTAGGGGTGGAAACAAATCAAATTCAATCAGAAACCACAGCATTCGAATTTCGAAGTTAAAGGAAAATCAACTTAGCATCCTGCTAATCCACATAACGAAATCTCTGTCTCTACCTAAATCTGACAGCAATGCTGTTGTAACAATTCATGAAGTACTACTGTGTGTCATTTGCTTAAATTCATACAAATAAGGTTTTATGGAGAAGCAAACAAGGTTTTTCAAGGCAAAAAGTTGTATGATAATGAATCAATAAACCACAGGATCACACTGGTAGACTAAAATTATTTAAGTCAATATCTTACGGAGCTAAATTTGAGAGGATGTATGTGCTTGTATTTTTGGTGGGGGGTGTTTCCAAGCAATTTAGAGGTAATTGTCAACGCATCTATAGAAATGGAATAGTAGCAATACCAACATATGTATCAAGTACAAAGTAACAAAATAATATTTACTAGAGTAATTACTCAACGCGAGGCATTTAAATTGAAATAATAAACTATATTAATGTAGATAAGCATACATTAGATATCACAAAATATATTAAAAAACCTGATCCACCAGATCATTCTTTGCACTCCTAGATGCATATTGCACAAAAGCAAAAAAGAAAAAAAAGCATGCTAAGTACATATATTATCTTTCTCCTTTGGAAAGTCGTTCAAAATTATTACAAGAAGCACTAACCAGGGGAAAAAACTGATTGTACCTCTGCCGATGAGCAAGCAAAACTTTCACCCCATGAAGTTGCCACCAAGATTACAGTTAGGTGAAAAATGTCGCCTCACAGGGTTACGAGGATATCCTAATCCGGACCCTATTGGACCGAGACCTCCAATAGCAGGAAACCGGTCATAATCTCCACCAACAACCGGAAACCCCTGTGGTGCAAATGGAGGATACCTTGGCATTGAGATTCTCGGGAAATGTATGTAATCCATCAGAGCCCTCCCAGCTTTACCACCATCTCGTTTATTGACCCAACATCGTTTGAACTTAGCTTTCCAAGAGCTTAATGATGCAATTTCACTCTCCTTCCCTTGCCCAAACTCCTGCATGAATTTCATCTTCCAGAGTGATTCATTTGAAGTGAGATACCTCATTTCAGAACCAGTGCATCCAAACCTAGCAATATCAACACCAGGGAGAAGCTCCAAGACCCTAAATATAAGCTCTGTAGGAAGACGAGCAAAACACGGGGGCAGAGGCAATCCATTCTTCTGGCATATATCAATCAATAAAGGCAAACAGAGACCATCTTTTACAGTCTTCCAAAACTGAAACACTTCCTTTTCTTCTTCTCTACTGACCCTATCACCCAAGAACACCAATAAAGCCATCACCTTTGATAGATCCAAATGGAGCCGATAAACGTCAGGTTCTCTGTTCAAATACCCATAAACCGAGACATGATACTTCATCACAGAAAACTTCAAAGTTGCAACTTTAAAGCCCCTTTCCTGAATATGACCCAATAGAGCAGGAACCGTATACTGTACTGAAAGCAGAGCAGTTCCTGAGTTCCAATCCTTGGGCAAGCAAGACCCATCCTCTCCACTACAGACCAAAAAGCCTGATTCTAAGAAAACAGCATGAACAGCGACAACAAGGAAGCCTAGGTTCCCCTTGATCTCTTCCTTCTCCAACTCCATAACCCTCTTAAGGAAACAGGGAAAGGACGGGGACGGGGATTTCTCCGACGAAGAAGTCTCAACAGGTTCCATCGCTACTTCCATTTCTTGACCTGGGTCAGGAACTAGGGCTAGGGTTTCATCGGAATTGGGGATTTCCGGGGTTAGCGTTTGACCGGAACTTGGATTGTCTAGGGTTAGGATTTCAGACTTGTTTTCAGCTTCTACCTCCATGTCGTGATCTGGGTCAGAAGCTAGGGTTAGGGTTTCCGAAGTGGGTTTTGTTGGGGTTAGGGTTTGGGTATAGAAGATGAGGTCACCAGAGGTGAGGCCGACGGATCGGAGGGAATCTGAGGGGTGATCAGCGACGAGCTCATCTCTTCGATTGAGAGAGAGGGAGATCGATTTGGGAGGGATTGGAGAAGGAGAAGAAGAGGAGAGCTTGGAAGATATTAGGGTTTTGAGGTCGAGGAGAGAGGAGTCACCTGCGATCTCAACGCGGATTGTTTGCTTGGACTCTAGGGATCGAATTCGAAGCTTCATGTTTGAAGCAGAAATTGAAAGGGTGTAGATAAAAAAGGGAAGGCAAACGGTCTTGAACTGAAGAAAGAAAGGGGGCTATCGCTGTGGTGCGAGTTTGCAAGACTTTATCACCCAGTTCGACGAAAGGGCTGCTTGCTTCAATTTCTATAAATAATAATTAAAAAAAGAAAAAGTGTCAAAAAAAATAATTTCTTTGTATTTATATAAACTTTTATAGGAAAATTTTATAGAATTCAAAAAGTATAACTTTTCTTATTTTTTGTTCTTTCTTTATTTGATTTAAAACAAGAAAATGGACCCGTTACTTTATAGAAATAGCTTGTTTTTTTTAGTTGGATATGAAAATTTTATAGAAAAGTACAAATCATATAAAAAACTTTACAATTGCTAGTTTAACGACTATTTTAATGGCTAGTTTGGCATCCTCAATTGTTATAAAATCCTTCTATCCTCAATTTGCTATCAGCACAAAATTTGCTAAGTTAAAAAACATGAGTAAGACTGCTAGAGATATCGATGAATCTAAATCTATACCAAATTCAAAGTTAAGTATTTTGAAACAAAAATAAAATAAAAACTCTACTATTTTCTTAATATCAAATTACTTTGTTTTTTATCTTAGCGTGCTCAAAAACTACTGCAGAGACGAACCTATGAGGATTTATTTTCATATACAGATGAAGATCGAGAACGTGGTGAGATGTGGGATATAATGGAATTAGCAGAGATGATGTTAAGAGCTGATGCTTTGAAAATTAGAGACCAAAACGGGTGGTGGAAGTGTCCTCATTGCAATGATATCCCCAGCATAAATTGGAACATGAACAAACTTTTAACTCACGCACATGATGTTGGTTACAATGGGACTATGCCTAATATGGGTAACGAGAGGATTAGCCAACATCGTGAGCTAAAAGTTTATTTACAATGGTTAGATCGAAATCAATGATCTAAAAAAATCATGTAACACTTTGGTGTCTTCATCTCCTACTTTCATATTTTCATGTACTAAGTTAGCTCAGTTATAGGTATTGTGACAAAATTAATTGCCTCAACTAAAACTTACAAGTTCAATGTATATTGCATTCTAATGATGTTGCCTCACCTTAGCATTGCGCTCGTAATGAAGGTTGCACTTCCCATTAAAGAACACCTCATCTTTTATGAACATTGTAAACTAGTTTGCAATTTTATAAAACAGACCATCATCATTACCAACAACGAGCTCAAAATGAGAAAAAATTAGAGCAAAAAAGAGCATAAAAACAATGAGTATCAGAAATCTGCACCAACAACTCAAACCGAGCACAAGAAACACCAAACAAGTCTCAAACCGAGCACCATAGAAAGCTAAACAAGCTCAAAAATAGTGAGTATCATAAATATGTACCAATAGCTCAATTGAAGAACAAAAAACACCAAACAAGGCTCAAACCAAGAACCATAGAGAGCTAAACAAGCTCAAAAATAGTGAGTATCTGAAATCTGCACCAACTCAAACCGAGCACAAAAAACACCAAACAAGACTTAAATTGAGCACCACAGAAAGCGAAACAAGCTCAAAAACAGTGAATATCAGAGATCTACACCAATAGGTCAAACTTAGCACAAAAACACCAAACAAGGCTCAAACCGAGCACCATAGAGAGTGAAACAAGCTAAAAAATAGTGACTACTAGAAATATGCACCAACAGCTTAAATCGAGCACAAAAAACACCAAACAAGGCTCGAACTGAGCACCATAGAGAGCTAAACAAGCTCAAAAATAGCTTAAAAATAAATTTGAGCATCAATAGGGTGCTAAACAAGCAAAAAAATTAGAAGAAAGTAGATTGAATACCCCAATATTAAAAATCAGGATAAATATAGTTTTGAGTTATACCTTACAATGTGACCAGAAGAAGTAGATCAAGTACCCTAATAGATCCGAGCTAAACCAACAACCGAAAATCCTAACATATTACATTAGCAATTAAAAAGGTCCAATTAGATCAGATCCGAAAAAAATAGAGGACCTCCAAACAAGATCAATATAAGAAAATCCAACAAAGCTCCACCATCATAACCAAATCCATCTCCAAATCCATGAATGAGTTAGATTAAGAATGTGGATTAAAAAGCCATCAAAGTAGAATGGGAGTGGGAGCAATAACAGGGCACAAATAATTGATTTCTGAAAGAGATATAGGGGCTTAAGCGATAGCGGGGTGCAAATTTTTTCAGCGAGAAGAGAATTGGGGGCGGGAGTAAGAACGAGGGTTTTGAGAAACCCTAACAAAATTTCCACTCACGATTGCCCAGCGAAAATTAAGATGGTGATGGGAAATAGGGTGCGGCTAATTTATATTATTATTTTAATAGAATTGTAAGATTTCTAACCAATTTTCTCTCATTTTGAGATGAAGTCAATTTCTGTAAAATGTGGTACTTTTTCCTACTTTATAGAAAATATTTTTATACATTTTTGAACCAAACACAGTTTATAGAAATCTAGAGAAAAATTTTAATTATAAAATTGTCATTGTCAGGTCTTTTCTCAAAAAGTTTTTATAAAATGAGTGAACCAAACACCCCCAAAGGGTCAAGTGAAAAAGGATTAAGTGTGGAATTAAGGAGAGTTAAGTCTTTCTTAGCTCGCTAAACATAAAAAAATTTACGTAGAGTGTAAACTAAGTTAGCCCCTCATAATTTGGTAAACATAAAAAATAGTAGAAGGGTTTATAAATTCCTATATTTAGAAGGAATAAGAGACAACCCCTCTATTTATAAAGAAAATTATCATAAACTTTTTTATTCCTAAACGCAAAAAAAAGATCATAAAGATTATGTTATAAGGTGTCCCCTATTCTCCGCACATATGCAATCTTGCGAGCCGTGTTTCCCCTAGTCGGGTTAGCATCATTTCTCAAAGGCAACTCGATGAGCAGACTCAGTCGATCCTCTTAATATCAAAGGATTACTACTCAGCGTTAGCCGACACTCCTCCCAAGGACGATTCAAAATATCGCTTCTCAATATTTTTTAACCTTTGATGATTATCATTATGTCTCTCGTCGCTCACTGACAAGCCTCGTCGGCTGCTGGTTCCCCATATCGCTGAAGTGACCTCCCGTCGCTCACAAACTGAAATGTATAGAGCAAAGGGTGAGCCAACCTCCAGCTCACCCCTCACCACCGTCTACCGTACACTCATGAAATGACTAATCTATCCTTGGCATCCTTTATAAATACGGGCGCTATTCGCCATAAAAGGATGTTCGGTTTTTCACAATCTAAAACCCCCATAAAGCACATACTACACAGAAGGAAGAACACACTGTTCTTCCTTCACCCCCATTCAAGTTCACCAACTGACTTGATCGTCGGAGGTACCACGGGGGAAACAAACCCCGCTCTCTTACGATTCTTGCGTGTGCAGGTCATTCGTCCTTCCCGAGCTCTAAGAACCAGGCATAAAGTCGAAGTAGGAAATGACCCCCCTCGACGACTCAACCACTCGACAACTCAACGACTCCGTAACTTCGACCAACTGTGTGATCTCAGACATCAACAGATTAAAATAAACTAACTTAATGGATTACATTTTTTTAACTCTTTAGTTGACACATGAGGTGTCGTCTTAGTTTTCCATTCGAGTCGACATAGGAATTATCGTCTCATCTGGTCGATATTGATCTCGTCTCGGCTTCAAAAAGAATTCCGAGCTCAAGTATTCACCTCCTCGATCCGATCGAAGAATTTTAACTTTCTTGCCCGTTTGGTTCTCTACTTCATTTTTGTACTCGATAAATTTCTCAAGTGCTTCAGATTTGTGTTTCATCAAAAACACATGTCCAAACCTTGAAAAATCATCAGTAAAAGTAATAAAGTAGGAGTAGCCACCTCTGGCCATTGTAGACATAGGACCACATACATCACTATGTATCAGTCCTAAGAGTTCTGTAACTCTTACTCCAGTTCCTGTAAATGGAGTCTTGGTCATTTTACCTTTAAGACAAGACTTGCAAGTCTCATAAGACTCAAAGTCAAATGGATCTAAATATCCATGCTTATGAAGCTCGCCAAGTCTTTCTTTATTAATGTGACCAAGTCTGCAATGCCATAAGAAAGCGTCATTCATAACTGAGTGCTTTCTTTTATTAGTGTGATAAGTGTTCAGAATTGTATTTTGATTAAGAATATAGATGCCATTGCACAATGTTCCATAAGCAATCAACTTTTGATTAAATATGATATTCATAACATTGTTCTCCAACTTAAATACATATCCATCTTTATCTAATAAAGATATGGATATTATATTACACATCATAGTTGGTACAAAATAGCAGCTATTTAAAATCAAAACGTTTCCATTTGGTAAAGCTAGATGAAAATCCCCTACTGCAAGTGCTGCAACTATTGCACCATTACCAACTTGCATAGTCATCTCTCCAGCTCCAAGTTTTCTATAACTTTTAAGTCCCTGTAACAAATTACAGATGTGAGATCCTGATCCGGTATCTAATACCCAGGATGTATGATTTATAGAAAAACAATTCTGAGTAACAAACACACCTGTAGATGAAGCAACAACTTGCTTATTCTTGGTGAGTGAGGCTAGGTATTCTGGGCAGTTCCTTTTCCAATGTCCTGACTTATGACAATGGAAGCATTCTGCTGTCATCATTTTTGCCTTTCCTTTATCCTTCTTGACAGCCTTCTTAACACCTTTCCTTGGTTTAGTAGTTTTCTTCATTCCTTTTTTCTTAGCAACCAATTTGCCAGAAGAGGAAGAAGATTGCCCTATAGCCAAGACTGGTGTTTGTCCCTTTTTCAAAGAACTTTCTTCCTGTCTTAACAAATTAAGCAAGGCAGGAAGAGTGGGCTCCAGATCCATCATCAAAAACTGTGATATGAATCGGGAGTATGCTGGTGTCAAGGACTGCAGAATGATATCTGTATATCTATCTGCATCTAGGCCTACGTTCAAAAGTTCAAGCTCATTGACATAGGCGATCATTTTGAGGACATGATCCCCAACAGAAGATCCCACAGTCATTTTCGTCTGGAACAGATTCCTAGACGCCGCGTACTTCATTTGTCGCGGTTGCTCGCCATACAG